GTTACAGATTTTGGTGTCGTCTGCAAACAGCAGCAACAACGTGCCTTGTTGGAACAAGAACAACAACAAACGGCGTTTTTCCAAGCTCTATCGGAGAAATTATCATTTCTGAGCTAAGCGGATCAGAACCGCTCAACTGAGCTGAACATTTCAGACCCTCTTGCAAATGGCTTGCATGGGTTTAATTACGACACAAATAAGGACATAACATTCGAGTCTTGGTATCCACCATAGGAGGATGTCTTTCTGGTTGACGCCAGTGCATTGGATGAAGCGGCCAAAGTGCGCCTTTTACTGAGGAAGTTGGGCACATTGGAACACAATCAGTACTGCAATTTCATCCTCCCGAAAAATCCTCGTGATTCAACTTATGCGACACTGTGGCCACGCTAAAATCTTCGGCGAGCGATCATCCATATATAACATCCGTTATCAGTGTCTGAAAGTTAAGAAGAAGCAAGCCGAAGATTTTGTGTCATACTCCGGTCGGGTCAATCATGAATGTGAGTGTTTCCGGCTCCAGCAACTATCCGGTGATCAATTTAAAGCTCTTATTTTTGTGACCGGACTGACACCTTCATCAGATGCGGAAATACGTACCAGACTACTTTCTAAACTTGATGCCAAACCTGAGATAACTCTCCAGGAGGTTATCACTGAATGCCAACTCATAATCAAACTAAGGCTCGATTCACAAATAGTATAATTAACTCCATCAGCAATAGATACCGTAGTCGTGGTCAAGGTTACCCCTCGGAATGAGAGATCTTATGTTGCTGAAGACGCAGTTCATCACCAACGACCACTAAAAGCTTGATGGAATTGTGATAGATGGCATTTTGCCAGAAACTGTGTAGTTCGAAATCATGTTTGTGCTATATGTGACAAGAAAGGACACAGTGAAACACACTGTAGAGGAACCACAACATGGCCTCGCATTATGTTCACTCAACACCAAACAAGATACAATCCAATTAGGTGTATGCCACACTCACTCACTCACTCAGCGAGGTGCATTGATCACACCGGTACATCACCGTGACTATCAACAATTTTCCTGTGTTTACAGCTTGACACTGCCTCCGACATCACAATAGTATCAGAAAGCACATCGTCGGCGATCGGCAGTCCGACCCTCAGTAGTAGTAATCAAACGGCAAAAAAATTCATCCAACAATCCGTTACAGTTGTGTGGTCCATTCACTTGTGACTGAGGCAAAATCATGAAAGGGGTAAGTTACATTTCTAACAATCCTGTGTTAAAAGTCCTGGGCATTGACTGGATAACCCAACTGGGATTGTGCAGCGAACCTCTGGATTCCGTGTGCGACCCGGTGATCAAATGTGTGGATTCATCATCCAAATATGTAAACACACAAATATTTACAAATACATGCACCCATATCACCAGAATGTCTGCAGCACAAGTTTAACGAGCATCTCATTTCGGAGGAGGATCGAGTGATCGCGGCTGCTTCGGTCGAATCAAATGTACAACAGTTCTTGGGTGTCTCAGTCCATTACGTTCCCCGACACGAATCTGGCGGGGCAACCAGACAAGCAATGCTGAAGTTCGGTGCAGAGTCTTGGGTAACCGCGTTCACCCATTGGACCAATTGGTCGACCTCCAAAGATTGGTTAGGGCATGTCCCCAAATAGGTCGCCACGGTGAACGATTTTTGCCGAGGCAGGGTGATCAAAATAAGATATGGCACCAGGATATGAAAACCCCAACAAGGAGACTGGATCATATGGGTCGCGTTAGGCCCCTAAATGAGGAGCTCGAGATCACAGTAATCAATGGTTAGGGACACTGAGTGTCGTAAAAAGTGGCGCTCGTGTATATTCTCAATTTCTTTACAACCTTGGTCAACTGAAATTCTCCACTTTCTCTTCGACCGTACTTCAACTTTTCTGTCTTTCTCCTACTGCCTCATCCAACTGGGAAGCCATGAGACAACAACCAAAAACCGGAGGCATGAAATTTCATGGTTATTGGTTATACAAACTGACACTGAAACCGACACGCTTCTGATGCGTTCAGTTTACCAACCTGCGCGTCAAAACTACCTGCAAATACAACTGTCGGAACGTCGGCTGAACCGAAAAATTTCAGCGGATTTGTCATAGAAAGACCACTTTTGTGTATCACAACCGCAATAGGTCGGTGCATACGCTGAAATGATGAACAAACACCTTTTGGTGTTGCTTTCCTTCTGGAGGCTGACAGACCCTTGGAGCCGCATCGCATATAAGTGACAGTTAACGGGGATCTAATGTATGAGAGAGGACTCGGCCCTGTTATTGGGTACAATACCTACAACGAAATCTAGTCTGCGATACACAACAGACATCAGTTTTCAAAGAGTCCATTGTACGCGCCAGACACGCTTTTTGACCTGCCTGCATCAGAGTCCTCATGTTGAAGGCCCTCAGATTCAGTGTTCGACGAGGCCTCAGGTTCTGCAATCTATTTCGTGGTAAATTACCTACAGTGCTACGCAGCAACGATCTTTAACGAACGACGCCCAAGTTGGTGGAGGGACTGTTAAAAGTCGGAAGAAGGAGCAACAAGAGAGGGTTAGGTACGGAAGACAAAGGATTAATCAAGGGTTGGGATATCTGAGCAGTAGCTCTTTTATCACTGCCCACCCCGCTCGATGCAATGGGTTGCGCGGTCCTGATTATCATGCGCGACGACCGATGCAGTATGAAATTATTTTTTGGTGTGTATCAATTGGGGTTTGATGGACGGATATTGTTAGGGTGCGTAGCCACTGAGCAGCAGAACGATTAGGGTTCTCAACCAAAGCCTTTAGTTTTGACATGAACCTAACCGCAAGGTAGCGGGTGAAGCGAAATGGAGGTTCATTTATTTGTATTGATTACTGCTAAATCATTTTTTACTGTCTGAAACGGAAATTGTAATCGAACCGACCAACCAGTGGGAGGTAAAAACCGGTACTGGAAGTCGAACATGTGACCCCCGAACCGAGATGACGGAGGTCTTTACCACTTGACCATTCCCGTTAGACTTTAAACTGAAGGTTAATTGAATGCGTCCATCTTCTATTCACGCTCTCATGCGTCCATTAAATTAGTTAGTCTAAAATTATGACTATAATCGTTTACAAGACACCTCGAGCCCAGACACGCGCCTTTTATCCACCCCCACCCCCAGTAATCCATCTTCTTTGATGTTTTTATGGGACACATTTGTATGGTGAACAACAAGGGGAGGGCGAACCGCATAGTCACGAAGATCTGGCTCTGACAATCTCTCTCTCTCTCTTTCTGATAACCCAGTAGGATGTTCCATTGGAATCTGTTTTTTTCTGATATTATTCAAATTTACCCCGGGGTTAAACTGATCCACTTGTACATGTGCGTTCTACGGCCATCTCGACTGTTGCCTCACAGAAAGAGAGCACCCTGGCTTGAAAGTGCAGTTTTTTATTGGAGTTCTGCCGCGTCAAGAATGCGTCTTGAGGAATGACACGATCCATTTATGTATATTGTAATGTATCTTTTTCGAGCCTCATTTGTACTCTCTATTGGTTCGAATTTCAACGTACGTCAAGAGTGATCAGACTTGAATTCCGAAGCTGCACGCAAATCAACTTGGACCAGGGTAATCGTGCGGATTTAATGCAGCTATTTTACTCTTCAAACAGTTACGTAGTGAGGTGGTACTTTTTTGGTAAGAGTACGAGAACAACGGGACGACTAACAACAGACAAAAGGGGTTTGTTTGAAGACCGATGGAAACGCTTGACGCGATTCATTGGTCGAGTTGTGCAAATTTGTGTACCTGACTCGTGAGCACCAACCCCAAACCTTGGGGTTGGGAGCCGAAAAGAACAGTGATACACAAATCATGGTCTGTGAACTGAGCAACTTCACAAAACCATGAGTTTCCGGTGTCGGCCACCGACCGACCGTGCAGCAAATCGGTTCGATTCCGGACCGGACAGGAACACATGGATACTGAACATGGGTTGATGAGTCACAACAAGGATGCAACACAGCTGTCAAGCATTCTTTATCAATCCTGGAAATTATAACACGTGTGTGTGAGGGGGGGGTAAATAAATTATCAAACCAACGAAACAATGTATAGACCTAAATGTGTATGAATTTGCAGTGGTTTAAGAACACTAAACCGAAAGTAACAAGGTGTATGAAAATTGAGAAAACTTGTTTTCGTACGGAATGCAACACGTTTGGTAGCCTTACCTCGTGAACACAGGAATGCACCAAAGAGATGATCGACGTCCAAACACTTGGATAAAATTGGCTTTACAGCCCAAATTAAATGTTCCGTGCAATGCCGGATTGCGAAAATTCGGACTGCGAAAATGTTCTTTGGGGAGCATAACAGGAAGAGGATTAGCAAATTCATAATGGACGTGCAAAACATACCCAGGGTCGAACTGTTCTTGAGCAATAAACTGAGCTGAAACAACAGCAACAGGAGCAAGGCGATCGCGAATACCAAAGAGATCACAAAAAGGAAAAACACATGCATCCCGTTCAGATCGAAGTCGGTTTGATTCTGGAACATTGGAAGAAGATTAGGTTGACGATTAGGGACGGAGGGGGGGGGCGGTGATCAACTCACATGAACGAAGTCGATGAAGAAACCCAGGGTGCTCACGAACGAGCACAAGCAGTAGAATATCGCATGGAATAGGAATAGGAGAAAATATTTGTGATTATGATGTCCGACACAGTTGTTAATCCAAGGACAATGATGATCCATTTTAGGCACGCATCTGAAATAAATAGAACTGTGAACAAGTGTGTATGCCCGGGGTGTACTTTTCGCAATTCGAGCAGTGATGTGTACGATCGGGTTTGATAAGGAAACAAATATCACAGAATGGAACCGTGCCTCGTTTATTATTCAACGTGATCGGTAATGATTTTGTCTCAACCAGATATTCCAAATAAGCTGATCTCTCGTGCTCGGTGTCCAATTCGATATACCGAACCGTTTCCGTAGGTGACAAACAGTACTGTGTACTCGTTCGAAAAGGAGTGAGAAAACGAGTGCTGCTTACCTGTTTCGGAATCGGTGGAGTCGACGTGCGCACAGAACGCCAGAAGGACCAAAGAAACAGAAATAAAAACGAGTGATATGGAACCACAAACAGCCCTGCACGGTGAAAAAGAAGACGAGTTTATGCAATTGGATGATAATTTGGCGAGAGAAAAAAACGAAAACAAACCATTTGGAATGGATTTTGGGACCCAGCCTAAACAGTGGGAACTCGTTGAGGAGGATAGGTTAGTGTGATTACCTGCACAGATAATGAAGACCACGACGTAGTAAGACCAGGCAATAAGCATGCAGAGCAGGAAAACCGGAATGTTGAAAAAGCATCGAACGGTGCTCTGCATCAGACTTATAGCACGACCCATTTTAATGCATCTCGTTGGGAAGAGAACGGGTCAAATAGACTGGAAAGAGAGGGAAAAAATGAGATGAGCTGACACCAAAATACAGATTATTAATAAGCCAACAACAGCAATCATATCGAACTAAACCAGTGTATTCTACTTTTAATTATCCCTATCACAAACCGCACGCATTTCATACTTGAAACTCTAGTTGATGATTATGCAGAGTAATATGGTTTGATAACGTGCACACTGCAAGCAAAATGATTAAGTTCATGTTACTGTGACCGATCGTAGGATGAAACAGAACACGAAGTGAAATAATTGCCATATGTGACTATTAACTCCGGTTGTACTGTATTTTATACTTATCCGAGTTCAGACAATCAGATGGATCAGGACACAACCATCTGGCGGGTGAATAGCAACACATTTTACAGTTCACGGAAAATTCCCATTAGGTAAACAGAACACCAAGCTTATTTTCGCAACTTCGTCTTTTTTTTCTGTTTTGAAGGCATAAACGTCCTTTCTCCGAACAAGTGAGGCCATCAATCAAAGGAAAAAAAAATCAAAAAATGAAGAAAGGTGGTGGGACTCAAACACACGATATGTGGTTGATTAGAAATCATGAACGATGAGGCAACTGTCGATTAGATAGTAGTGACATTTGTATTCCTAATTCTCGTCAATTCAGAATGCATGAAAAGGTATGTATGCACAATTACGTTGTGTACTGAATTGGCCATAGAGGTAGACTCTCTCCAATTTGGTTCATGCCCTATACATCTTATTTTGACGCCAAGGTACAGTCTCGTCGTGGCGGATATATATATCTTTCATAACGAGACTGCACCTTGGCGTGGTGTGATGGCTTGCACGCCTCAATGACCCTGCGAGCTATACAGGATCGCTCCTCACAGCAGTAGATCCAATCATACCGGAAAGGTCAATGGGTAGAGGTCCGCTGCTTCGGCACCTCCTGGCTTCCTTTTCTATCCACACTAGCCCATGGAGGGGTCACTCCAGTAAATAAACACGGTGAGGGGCAGTTTACCGGTCAAAAAACCCCACTAGATGGACGTAGGAGCGGGGTACCTGGGGCTTCCTCTCGACGGTGGGAGAAGTCTTCGCAATTCATTAGACAGCTACCACCCGCAAAAGCTTGGCAGCCCCCAGCCAAAAAGGTGCTGTCCCGTCCACGTTCCGCTTATCTCATTCGGTGCATGAGGCTAACGGCCGATCCCGAAAAGCGGAAAGATAATCAACGCACCAGCGAACAACACACTGAACCGAAATTCAAAGGCCTTGCTTGACAGGTCTCCAGAAGCTCCCATGCGGGTGCTTCATTTACGCTCCCACGTTGGATTTACGCCCCACTACCTTGTGGGTAAGACTTTTTAGTCGAAGGTTCCGGTTGGGGTTCCCAAAGAAAAACCCCTTCGTCGGTGTGGGCAGCCGCGAAGTATGCAATGCCCAAAAGTCTTAGGTACCCATTTGGAAAACCATCTTTCTCGACAGTCCACTTACTTTCCTCACTCCCATACCTGAAGAGATGCATCCCGTTTGTAACACATGGGATATCACTCAGTATTCGAATAATGAGGCCAACCACTCAGAGGCTACCGGATATTGAAACCAAAATCTCCTTTCCACTTAGCCGCACTAATGTCTGCGCACACTATCAGATCGGTCAACAAGCTGCCTTAGCTAGAACCCATGAAACCTTCCATTTAGATGTATGATGTGTCTCCGAAACACACTTACAAGACCCGACTTCAATCATCTTGCGTCCTCCAGATCCAACCTCATCCTTACGCTTCACTCTCCGTGCGTCAGGCGATTGGACATCCGAAGCTCGCGGNCTCGCGGTGTTGGGATTGCGCGGTGTCAAGGCCGAGCGTTCACTTCTCGATTGGATCCCAGTTAACAGCGGACTTTGCACCGTACGTTTAGATGGTTCAGTGCGAGTCAACGGCTACAGAACGAAGCGTCCATGCTTATTCGTCCTATCCGCGTATGCTACGACAGACTGCAGTTCACCAGAAATGAACGATGAATTTTACAAGGACCTCTCTCAACTGCTCCGAAGTGCTCGGTCCACGGAAGTTGAAGTGGTCACCGGAGAATTCAATGCTCAAGTGGGATCCCTGGATGAACCAGAGAGGCTACTTGGCGGTTCACATGCAATCCCAGCCAACAAGACTGACAACGGAGAACGCCTACTTCAACTTTGTTCTTACCACGGACTGTTTCTGTCAAGCACGAACTTCTCGCACAAAACAACACCGCCTTACATGGAGACCACCAACTTCTTCACAGCGCTAGACTCAAATCGACCACAGTGCCATCAGCCGCCGTTGGTGAGGATCCATTGAAGACTACCACTCCTACTGGTTAACACCCGTGAACACGGACCATGCTCCGCTACTAGTGAGATTCTCCCTAAGCCTAGTAAACAACCATAGAAAAGCCACCAAAAACGGATGCCCAAAATACAATGTCAGCAATGGTTGCAAATCGGCCTTCGAAACGGAACTATCAGATCACCTCTCAGCCCAACCACCAGCTAGAGAACTCAGCGAGCGCTGGACGGCAATCAAAGAAGCGATCCAAATGTCAATAAAAACAACGGAAGATTCTACGCACGATCAAGTAAAAACGATGGATCTCCCCGACTTTGATTACCCTGCTGGACGCTAACAAATTCATTCCTTCAGATTTAAAATACAACAAAGCGCGCAAATCCCTTAAACGCCAGCTAATGAAGAGTTTGAGAAATGACCGCAAGAAGTGGTGGACAGGAAAGTGTAGAGAGATGGAGAAGGCTACGGCTATCGGTAATAGTCGCAATCTTTTCCGATTATTAGAAGTACAGGTCCAAGGAAAGCGGGCGTGAGGTAATCAGAGTCCGATGGCATACTGATCCATATTAGCAACGCCGTCTAAATCCATGGTCAGAACATTTTAAGGCTCAGTTCAGCTGGCCCTCGTCCCTCCCTAAACCCGGTTTAACTGTGAAAAACTGCCAGTTGACACCAATCCTCCATCTGAAATAGAGGTTACCCAAAAAATGAGCTACCTCAAAATGTATAAGACTTCCGGTCCCGATGGGCGGTCCTCATCGGTTTTTAAGGATGTAGGTTCAGCCTTGGTTTCGGAGTTAACAAAACTCCTGAGCTCAGTGTGGGAAAAGGAACAGGTTCCAACTGAATGGTGTGAATCGGTGACCATACCGGTTTACAAGAAGGGCTACTTGTGAAAATCACAGAGGAATTAGTCTAATCAATATTGCCTCTAAACTGCTCACCGGCATTATACTGCGCCGATTATCTGCCGCTCGTGAAGAGTGCACACGTGAGAACCAGGCTGGTTTTAGACCTGGTCGAGGTTGTATGGACCACCTCTTTGCTCTTCGTCAAATCCTAGAAGACAGACACTTTTCGTAGACCCACCATTTCCATCTTCCTCGACCTGAAAGCGGCTTTTGACTCAGTCGACCGCTCTAAACTCTGGCGCTGCCTTTCCTTGAAGGGTGTACCCGAGAAGTTTATTTCAATATTACGATCGCTTTATACTAATAGCAGGAGTCCAGTCCGAGCTTACGGCACATTTTCACCCAAGTTCACCACGGAAAGTGGTGTTCGACGGGGTTGCCCTCTCGCTCCTTTTCTATTTAACTTTGCCATATAATTAATTATTGAAACGTCCCTATCTTCGTGCG